TGACCAATTGATTATAAACTTATTTATCATGTAATAGATAAAAGGAAAAATCATTGACAGCTTACCAGATGACTACCCTTTATGCCTAATTTTATATCTGTCAGAGCATGCAAAACTGTGCATAGCATCCCCAATCATATATTTCACACATATTATGCACTGCTTAGTTTCTTTAACATTTGTTATCTTAACTCTGATTTCTCAAGTATGCTTGCTTTTTTGTTTTATTAGGAACATGGATTGAGGTAGTGAGCAAGAAATTCAGTGGAAAATTTGCTATACCAATGGTTAATTGGACCCACAGTGTTTCAGCACTTGATTTTCAAAGAAAAAAATACTCCAGGTGATCTTATAAATATTTTCATGTTTGGCATGATATACAAAATTTAAGAACAGCTGGTCAATAATCAAAGGGAAACATTGCTCAGGAATGAATGACTTTAGCTTATGTGTAATAATTGAAGACATGCAGTGAGTTTGCATAGATGTGTTTGTCTTCTTCCATGAATATTTTTATTCAACTACTTCTGGGTTCATACAAGGGCTTAATTTCATTATCTGAGCTCTATCGGATACTTTCCTAAACTTGCCAATTGGCAATTTTTAATTAAGTCCTTGAAAGACTTGTTTATTTGAGCAAGGTATTGCACAAACCTAGCAGTACTTTGAAAAAACTATTTCTGTCAGATGTAAATGTATGGCATTTATATATTTAGTATGGCCACTAAATAAGTAGTTTTAATATTTTGAACTAAAATAATGTATAAGAGTAAGTATCTGTGATGTTTCAAAGCCAGCTAATAAACTTAATTACTAGAAATGTTTTCTTTTGTCAAAAAATTTTGTACTTATTATAAGTAAAATTATTCTTGTTTTAAGTAGTTTTTTTCTTATTTGTAACATTCTAGGTAAGAATTGTGTGAGTAGGTTCCTTAATATACAATAATAATTTTGCTTATTTCAAGCAATGTGTTACTTAAAACGAGTATTTTTTCTTTAGAAAATTCTTGTTGCAAGAATTGTTTTTCTTAAAATGAGATTCCAGGTAAGAATAATATTCTTGCCTGGATTCTTGCTAAGAATAATATTCTTACTATACTGACAAGAACAATTTTACTTGTTTGTATTTTTTTTTTTAAAATAAGACTCACGATTTTGCTGTGTGCATGTATTATATGGATTTGGCTTGATTTACATGAAATTAGGTTATAAATTATACAGGGACTGAAAAGCGTAAACATGCAGTGCTTCCACTTTCAACTCTAGGCCTTTATGTAATGTGATTTATTTACGCATAGATATATTGCCAGGCATGAATTTTGCATACCCTTTCCGCAGCTCAGTTTTCTGAGCATCAATAATGACACATTAAATTTTACGCCGTTTTGGGATAATTTTGGCTAGGAGTAATGGTTTTCGTAGCCGCTTTATTTCTGTTAAACAAAACGATATTTATTAATACATTGCATTAAAATTCCAAATAGTTACTCTCAGAAAAGGGTGGAGGCAAATTACTGCCAGCACCTGTAGATACGGCCTACGACCATCACTAATTGAGATATAACGTTCCTCTCTCTGTATATATCAGCTACGGTAAATCGTCCAATGTACATAATTGTTAGCGGAGGCTTTGGGGAGGAGGTGGGTTCAACTTTAAAGGAGATCTGTCTTTCGCGATGTCACGCTTAAACTGACCGTTTATGGTTTGGGTATTCGGTCTTTGTTAGTTTTCGATTTGCTGCTGGCCATTGACCACCTTTCCCATATTGCGTGCCATCCATTACCTGTCGGTCTTTTAGATAGGACGCAAAGCCCATACTATAAGATTTTTAATTATCGTCGGCAAGGCGTATCCCCTTGGGGGTACACCTTGCCTTAATAGTCTATTTATAAAATCACATTACATAAATTTCTTATTTCCTTCGTAAATATTTTGTTTTATGTAATGTGATTTATTTACGCATAGATATATTGCCAGGCATGAATTTTGCATACTCTTTCCGCAGCTCAGTTTTCTGAGCATCAATAATGACACATTAAATTTTACGCCGTTTTGGGATAATTTTTGCTAGGAGTAATGGTTCTCCTAGCCGCTTTATTTCTGTTAAACAAAAGATATTTATTAATACATTGCATTAAAATTCCAAATAGTTACGCTCAGAAAAGGGTGGAGGCAAATTACCGCCAAAACAACGAAGCAAAGCAAGTTGACCCCACCCCAAGGAAAGGGATGCATGCAGAAAGTTTCAGAAAGTTTCGTAATACATTAATACAGGATCAGCGGTCTGCGCGACCGTATAAACGAACATGGGCAAAAAGGCACTTACAAAGCCCGTTAAAAGGCATAGATTATCGCCCTTGCTGATAATCTACACTTAACTGATATTAGTTTAGCAGAGTCACAATATTACCGCGCCTAGAAGAAGCTTCTCCATCACCCTGTTATAAGCACTTTATTTCACCCCCGGAATGCAAACGATCGCCCTTGCTGACCATGTGCAAGCTGAGGAAGAAATAAAATAACCGCACAATTCGAGCAGAAAACTCCCCGCACGTTTTACGCTCGAAAAATTCATCCAAACTATGTTGATAGGGAAGAAAAACGTATATATTTGAGGAATGCGTTCGATTTCCAACGCCCCATAGTTCGAATTTGGGCATCAACGAGTGCCTGTGTTCAGCTGCGTGGGAAGCGGCGCCTATTCGAAATGAATGAGACTTATATTTGGAAGTATCGAGTCCACAGAAAGATTGGCAAACTCGTCACACGAGACTGGAATGCCCAGTTGTGATAGAAAAAGAGCTCCGGGCTGGGTACCTCGCAAAATCATGTACTCCTCTAATAAGCGAACAGGACAGCATGCCGTTTGCCTGTAAATTTCCAAACTAAAAGGCTACTGTTATAATTGTGCTTGAAGTCCTAAAGTCAACCTTATGCCTGCAACCCGGCCATCATCGGGAGATATTTTGGAGAGTTGTCGCAATTGAAGGGGTTGGTTATTTGACTTCTTAGTTATTTCTCCAATTCTCAGGAACGCGAAAAATGCTAAAGAGCACATTGCCCGGAATTGACATATTTGGTACGGTGACCCAGCAATATGAGGCGCTGCCTCAATAAGACGATTGAGAATTGGTAAAGTTATAGGCAACCTACTATCTAAGCGGAAGCCTTTCTTACCATACCCCTTTAAGATTTGCGTTACGTAGAAAACTCTCGTTGGATCCGGTAGATCGGACATGCGATGAGTATAACCAAGTGCAGATACATAAGTGTTAACTGTTGAAGAGGCGTACTTGAGGTCAAATAAGTACGCTATGAATAACGCAACGACTGAGGGCGACAAAGGCAAAGTGAACGATCCCTCATTAAAAATTGCCACATGAAATTGCGTAAAAAGTGCCCATGCCCGTTTATAAGTCGGCACTGAAGAAGGTTGCAAGCTACTTTGAGCTAATTGAGAAACTATAGTCGCCAATTTTCCGGCAGCAGGTGAAAGGGAATAGGCGTTGGAGCTCGATGCATGTCGGCCGGCGCCAATTGTGAAAATTTTTGGAGCTCTAAACGAGACAAACAATCAGCTAGGACATTTTGTTTACCCGGTATATGCTTTGCTTTGAATAAAATATTGTATTCTAAACAAACTAAAACCATCCGGCGAACGAGTGTCATGATATAAGAATCCTTTGATGTTTGCTTATTAATAACAGACACCAAAGCTTCATTATCCGTGACATCGCTAGAAATCGCGGACATTTAAATCCCGATACATCCCTTAAGTCTATACTGGTTATTATCCCTTTCGATCCCCAGGCCTCCTTATTCTCATTTCAAAATGGCGTCCGCCGCACGAAGAGCTAATCCAGTTGATTATGTAAATTTGAACAATTTATCGTCGGAAGTTATGTATGAAAGCGGAAAGAAGCCAAAAGGAAAGTTTTTTCCAGTTGATAGACTTATTTCTCGAAAGCAAATTGATCATGTAAGTTTATTTATGCTAAATTTTATCCATTTCTAATTTGCATTTCATAATGTAGGTCTTCTACTGTTGTATAAATTCATTAAAATGTATGTTGACGGGCTAAAGATAGGCATACTTTTAAATCTATTTTAAAGACTTGGCATTATTTGGTAAAGTGGTCTGGATGGCCTTTGCCTGCATCAAGTTGGGAGCCCTACGATCATTTGAATCCAGCGCTTTTACGGTACGTACTGCTTTATTTAAATACGATACTGCCAAAAATGCATTTAGTTCTTCTCAGAAAGTACTTATACATAACATGCATCTACTCCAGAATTGCAATGCAAGTGGCAAAGAAAATTGCATCGTGTAACATAGCCTTAAAAAAAAGTTCTTTAAGCAACTATTTCTTATGTTGCTTACAAGGTGCACCTAATGTATTTTGATTTTATAAATCACAGAAAACTTTTAAAACACAAACAGCAATTATTTCAACATGGATGATCCAATGCTGTTTGCATGTAAAATTGTCAGCACAGACACAACTTTAATGTTTTTCGATAACAAGTTCTCTAATTTTGATGTTGTTTACCATTCAATAATACATGATTAACTGTACTAGTGCATTAATTCATGTAGCAAAATGCTTGCGTTCAGTAATGTATGTTGTCTTTTCTCTTCATGCATTTTTAGGAGCTATGAAAATCCATCAAAGCCAGATCAAGGCAGAATTGAGCAAGCTAGTAGAAGTTTTTATGATGCCATAGCAAGGGCTCTTAAAGCGAAATCTGCTACTCCTGTAGATGCTCAGATTGACCTTGATTTACAAAGATGGCTTTGGAAAGGAAAGGGAGTTCAATCTGAACATCTTGGTTATAAATTGTATGAGAAACATGAGTTTTGCAATTTGAATCTACAGGAAACATGGTGGTATTACCTTGATAGCAATGGCGAGGGCAGAGCAATAAACTTTCCAATTAAAATAAAACCTCTATTATTGTGGTCACCAAAACGTTACATTGTTCAAAATGGAGAACTGATTCAAGCAAAGAGAATGCCCATTGAGAAAGCTAAAATTCATTTCTCAAGACGAGCATGTAGTGCCGAGACACTTTAAAATATAGTTGTACACTTGTACTTGTACTTAGGTGCATGCAGCACCCAAAATGGTGCTTTTTAAAAGTTCCTTCAATTTGTCAAGCTTTCGTAGTTTTGTTTTTATTTTCATTTCTTTTAGTTTTTCTTTCACTTCACATAAACTCATGCTGTCTACATCCTGTGGGGTTAATTGATCTTGATCGTTCTCGTCTTCTCTTGGATCTACACAAAGACGCGGTTTTTTTCTTCTCTGCTGAAATATTTCATTTGACCAATAGGTATTGTCTTGTTTCTTGTATTGGTGTGGGATTCGTTCAAAATTCTGAAGATTATCAATTCTTCGAAGCGCCAGTATTGCCTCTTTGCAAGCATCATGCCGGTTGCTTTTGTTATGATAAATTGCCCGAACCACATCATTAATCTTTTCAATTCCTTGCCCAGTAAATGATTTCAAAGATTTTTCATCTTTGATGAATCTGGGTACATGATAAAGCAATATGTGTATATATGGTGTTATTCTAGCCTTTTCATAGCCCATCACTTTTCCACCAAGAGACAGGAATAGCTCTACCCAGTTCTTGGCCTATGAAAAATCAATGAAAAAAAACACCTTCACTATTTACATGCACATATAAAATGTCTCAGTACAGTCACACACAACAGTTATTTTAGTACAATTAATATATTGTAAATGTAAGGTACCATAGTACCTGTACTATGCACAGGGTAAACCCTACTCATGTGAGTAACACAAGACAATGTATTACTTGCCTTCCCAAAAAATCCATCTATATCTGCCTCAGAAGGCTTCCATGATGATAGTATTCCATATAGTTCACGAAATTCCTAGGAAATGAATACAGTACATACATGTATATCAAGAAATAAGTTGTTGAGAAATATGTAATTTATGTACACACCTGCCATATTTCTGTAATTGTATCACAATGGTTTGGTTCGAGAATGTTTGGGAACTGTGCAGGCAGCTTTGCAAGAACTTTTTTCTTCTCATTGCCAACCATGCTTGTCCAGTCATGCATTCCACTGTCAGTCCCATCGGCGTTCTTCTTTTTCCATACACTAAAGCTTACACCACAGTTATTGATGGCTTCAACAACATTTTGTAGGTGTTTATTTTCCCTGTCTGATGGTGCTCTATTAAGGTTCTCTTCAACATCACGCTCAATTGCATCGTTTATTATGTTACGTTCTAAAATATCTGAAAAAGGAAAAGGAGTCATTACTGCCATGAAGAGTCAGCCCAAGGACATTCTCAATGTATTGTTGCCAGTTACAGTAACATGTGCAGTATGTTGTAGAATTCATTATCTGTCTGTGAGTTAGGAACAAAGAAGTCTACATTATGTTATGAGCCTGCGTTCCTTTTGGGCTGTTCCAGGAACGTCACCAGTTAATATCCACATACCAATTTACAATTGAATAGTGCCGTACCAGTTATCCTGAGAAGCAAATGAAGTTCGTCGATTCTGACATTCTGAATTGGGATACTGAGCAATGGCTTTCTGATGCAACCATAGTTCGATGAGGACTTGCAGGCCATGGTTCTGTTGCTACTAAGTGTTCTTGTATTCTTACTATTATGGTAGTAATCCTCTACTTTTGATGTATCCCACCTGCATCAGCAAAGATGCTTTCAACCCATTAGTAAATAATAAATAACAAAGTAGATTGCATCAGAGTGCATTGAATCTATGTTTCAATGCATATACAGATAAAGATTTATAAAATTTGCAAATACTGGTACGGTATGGTAATTTAAAATTAAGATACATGTATTGAACTAAATTTTGCTTGTACCTTTCATTTTTGTGGACCAAGCAGTAAATGCATGCATAATCAGATATTGCGTTGTTCATTCCAAGAACCAGAAGAAGAAACTTGGAGATATAGAAGAATGCATTATTTTTGTATGATATGTAGTTCATCCCAGAAAGGGTACAACTGCCAGTTCATGTACCGTAATAGACCTTATGCAGAATAACGTCACAAGGCGTTATGCCTGCTGAAAATTCTAGACTTAGTGTCATTCATAGTTTTGAATGTTTGATGTTTCCTGCTGTGTTGACTACTAAAACCAGAATTCCGTGCAGGCATCAAAGCTTGTGACATCATTATGCACAAGGTCTATTATTGATTTTGAAGTTAGGGTGAAAGCATGTTACTGAACCTTATAATCACCAGACAGATAAAATTCCAGAGGTATTTGATGGCCATCCACCTCAATTTCACCATGCTCAACCAGATCATTGATTTCAGCAAAGATTTCTCTGCAAGAAACTTTTAGTACGTCGTAATCCTCACTTCCGGAAACTATTCCCACAATATGGTTGCCTGTATGATGTGTACAATCAAGAATTACTGTACTGTAGGTTTTGAGACAAGAAAGAACTAATTCAAGATCTAAGGCCAATTATTCCAGTATATCTGTGTCTCAGATATTATTAACTGGACTGTTTTTATGCTTTTCAAAAACTTGATAGTTTTTATGGATGGCATGGTCTTATCAAGAGCATTCTCTTACCTTTCCAAGACATTACTTTTTCTTCATCAGAAAGGAGAGCAAATGACAGCACAATAAAATTAGCTATGCGGGACATTTTTGCACCATCACCTGCAATCCTGATCTTTTGCTTTCCAACATCTCCAAGCTGTATCTACAAAGTTGATAAAAATAGTACATATATTTATCATTACAATCTATAAAATAACTAAATTTAGGCCTCACCAAAGCAAGTGCACATGTTTTCTGGCAAGAAATGGTGGTAGGAAATATTACCTTCTTTCTAATTTGTTCCCTTAGTTCTTCTTTAAAACTCATCTGAGCCCCTGGGTGTTTTCCTGGTGTGCGAGTGATATGACTGATTGAATTTAGTGTGTTTCTACACTGCTTAATTAAATAGCTCCTTGGGAGACCATCAACCAGCATTGACATTTCATGATAAGCTGTATCGCCCACACAACACTTATCCATAATATATAGTAGAGCTCTAATAGTTGTCTTATCATTCTCTGGTAACTGTTGAAAATTAGTCTTACTACTGCAACCATTCTCACAATAGTTCATTTCTGTTACTTTGCCATCCAGATCTTCAATCTTGATAGAGTCCAATTTAAACCCAAACGATTCCATGAACCAAAGTGCTTGCTCACTTCTCGACTTCAGCTCCTTTACTTTTCTTCTCTTTTGTCGTTCCCCAACTTTGCCAACTGGTTTCCCTGTGTTCTCCAGATTTGAACTACAGCTACTACACACAGTTGTTTCTTCAATAAAGTCCAGGTATTCTTTTAGCTCTTGGTTCTCCAGTAAGGCATGATCTCTCTCCATTTCAACAGTTTTTGTCTTGTCTTTCTCCTTTAAAAGATCTTGCAAAAGTTCATCACATCTGCTGTCGACATCCTGGAGTTGTTGTCGAAGATTGTTGTTTTCTTCTTCCAACTTTTCAAAGTCTTTCTGAAGACTGCTGACATTCAGTAACTCATCAAAAAAAACATGAAATGATTTTGTCTTCTCAAGAAAGTTTTTCCTGGTCAGGCCTCTTAGTCCTCTACTTTTGGTGTATGCTTGACATGCCATAACCCTTATACTTTCGTCAATTCTGCTCACACCAGGTTTGATTTTAATCGGTAATTTGGACGCACTCAGAGCCAGTAACTCTTGGTAGGAGATGTCTGGAAATTTGATTTTTAATTCCCGCCATTTTAACAAAACTTTTATCGAAATTTTTAGAACAACACATTTCCCTGACCTTTGATATCCAACGTAGCGTAAGCAAGAATAATCCTCACTAAGCTGTATTTCATATTTAAGTTTTAGTTGCTCCTGCCAAGTAAGGTTGTCTGACATTGTCTTTTTATATATAGTACAGCAAAATACAGTAGAACAAGTAAATAAATAGCAATACTCGCAATAATCGCATATTCTACTTTTTGACAAATGTGTTCGGCTCAGTGCACGGAGCAATATCAGTGGTATATAAACAAAGTTTCCTCAACGGGGAGTTACCGCTGACTAAAAGGATTGCCAGATGTAAACAAAGTACAAGAAAAGAGCTATCAAATGATATATTTTGAGCAATTTTTTGTGTGAAAAGTCATTGTCAAAGTGCAAGATTAGTATATGATGATTGTATCAAATAAATGTACCTTCGATTTTATGCAAACTACTTGGAATTAAACAAATAATCATTGCCGCCACAGATTAAGGTATGCGAACAATTGTTTTGGCTACTAATATGTGTATATTTTTTATATTTCACCCCACATTTTTAACTTCATCGATCATTAGACCGTGGCATAACTTTGTAAAAGGTGGATTTTTGCCATTTCGGAAAATTAGTTACAAATCCTGCCTGTACAGTTATTCCGTTGTTGCCCAGTTTTACGTATAGTAAATAATCATGACATTTTATGATTGGTTTTAATTATTTTTCTTATTTGCTTGATTAGTTCACGGAATTTTGTTTCAGCAGTGCACAATTTTAATTTGTTATGATTCTTTACCGATATTTGATGTAAAATTTGTATAACCATCTACATTCCTTATTAAATTTGAATGCATGAGTGGACAGGGGGACTGGGCCGAAAATGCACTCTGTATTCAAAATGTCCGCGATTTCTAGCGATGGAAACAAAATACAATGATTGCGCATCTTTGATCCCCATAAACACAGGCTGAGGACAATCGGATATAGCTCTAGAACGGCAATATTGTAACTCCGCCAGTCAGTTGGCCATGCGCCATAGCACCAGTCGCAACCAAACAGGGCCCCAAAACCAATACTACCCGAAGCGTCAGTATATAAATTCAAATGGGAGTTATTACGCCAATGGTTGTGCAAAAAGAATGATTTGCCGTTGAAATTCGACAGAACCGTTTGCCAGACACGAAGATCATGTTTCACACTTTGCGTTAAGCGAATAAAGAAATGAGGGTGTGAAATGCCATGCGTTAGATCAATTAAGCGTCGCAGGAATGCGCGACCTGGCATAATGACGGAACATGCGAAATTAAGTAATCCAATTAAGGACTGAAGTTCTTTGAGTGTAACCTTTTTACGAATTAAAAAGCGTGCGATAGATTGAACACATTTCTCGATTTTATCCATCGGCAATCGGGCCTGGAATTGTATTGTATCTAATTCAATCCCAGCGAACGTTAAGGTTGTTGAGGGACCCATGGTTTTTCCCGGTGCTATAGGCACGCCAATGAAATCACAAAGAGCAATAAATACTTGTAAGTTTGTTTTACAAGCAGAATAATCCGGTGCAACAAACAGGAAGTCGTCGAGCAAATGAAGGAGTTTGCCGATGTTAAGCCTTTCCCTAGCGATCCATTCGATAGCCGTACTAAAAATCTCAAAAGTGCGACACGAACTGGAGCAACCAATTGGCATTGCCCGGTCGTAATAATACAAACTCCGCCATTTTATGCCAAAGAGGTGATAATCCGCTGGGCTGATAGGAATGATTCGAAAAGCATTTTTTATATCTGTTTTCGCCAGGAAACAACCCCGGCCCGCTTTTTTAATAAGTTGAATAGCGTCGTCAACGATAGCGTACCGCACAGATGTTTCGAAATCGGGTATACCATCATTAACCGATGCTCCCTTTGGAAACGATAAATGATGAATCATGCGAAAATCACCCGGTTGTTTTTTAGGAACCAGGCCCAAAGGCGAAACACGAAAATTTGGAAAAGCGGATAATTAAATGGCCCAGCAAGGCGAGATGCCTCTAACTCTTTCGTTAATTTTTGGTCAACCGCTTCTGGTTTGTCAAGAGCAGACCGTAAATTTATTGCTTCAAACGACTGTTCTGTGCCAGAGAAATGAATGCGAAAACCCGAAGTAATCCGGAAAATTAGTTATCAATACTTTGATTATAACCTTCTAACAATATTTGTAAATTATGAAGTTTTACGGGTGTGCCAACGGACGTTGTTGAAATAGGCCTAGGCGATCGATCAGTGGGAGATGGTCTGTTGTTGGCACGAAAATTACAATTCACGGCACGGTGCGATCCGTTGCATTTAAAACAAATGTGCTTGAAATCACAACCGGCACAAAACGTTCCGCGATAAAACTTAAAACAATATCCCCGAGGAACAGACACTTTTGAAGGGTGGCGCGTATGATTGCTGCCTTGCGTGTTCGGCTTAGAAGTAGTGGGATATTGACATTTCAACCATAACTCTCAGTGAACAGTCGCCCTGGGAACGCGCGTGGCCTGTGTTTGGCGCAAAAATCGAAAATTCTCATCGTAGTAAAACCAATTATGACCCCTATTGGCCAAATCCTGGATGATTTGACAATATTTCATGAGCGCGGGGGACTCATGGGGTACCGTTGTGTATAAATGGAAACAAAAAATATGAAACGAACGAAGCCAATCGCTAATAGTTTTGACCCTTTTGGATTTCGCAGTCGGCTCAAGGAGAAGAGAAGCAGGTTGACCGTTGTCAGAGGAACGTACACTAATCTCGTATTTAGCGGCCGCGTCTGGGCCACCTGACAAAGTACTTATATCGACAAACTCCTCATTCCATATTTTAAGCTTTATTTTATCCGGAATCCGCGAATCAAGAGGCAAAGCGGCAGAGTGGAACGATTCCCGTGGACCCGAGGCACTTGAACATTGAAGAGAAAAAGGAGTGGTCTGACCTGTAAGGTTTTCTTGTATAGACGTGAGCGCGTCGTTGACCAGAGAATCTGCATTGGGACCCTGGTTTGAGATTTCGATACCGGAGGTAGAATCCGTTGGGGCAGACGCCATTGTGGATGTGGAAGACGCAGAGGTTGGTAAGAAACCAGCTAGCTTTTGCGTGACTGCCTCAGTAACCGAAGACACCAGCGTTGAGATAAGCTCACTCGAAAGAGAGGGCAAAGTCACTTGACTCACGGGCACAGTTGACGTTGACGGGGCGGCACCAACAGATACAGCATTGGACGAACTTCGAGTTCGACGAGATGTTGTTGATTGGTTCTGAACAGACTCTCGCAAAAACGGCTAATGGAGCGGCGACACGCTTAGAACGACGTACGGGTGGCATTCTAAGAAATAAAACTTTAAAAGCAGAAATAGATACTTATTGCCTAATGAGTTTTTAGATAGTAAAGCAACCGCACCCAAATTTTGTCGTTGTGCGAGAAATAAAACTATCCCCCGTAATGGCGAACATTCAATAGTGAGGATTCGTCCGTTATTTGTCGTAATTGAAAATTGGAACTTGTGAAAGCATGATTAGAAAATCAAACGTCAGCAGGATGAACATGGCAGATCCGAAGACCGCCGCACCGTTCACCCTGTGGCCAACAAAACTCACAAAAGTGTGAGAACTCTCATACAGATGAGAGATAAAGACAAAATCAAACGTCAGCAGGATGAACATGGCAGATCCGAAGATCGCCGCACCATTCACCCTATGGCCAACAAAAAACTCACAAAAAGTGTGAGACCTCTCATATAGATGAGAGATAAAGACAAAATCAAACGTCAGCAGGATGAACATGGCAGATCAGAAGATCGCTGCACCGTTCATCATATGGCCAACAAAACTCACAAACAGTGTGAGAACTCTCATATAGATAAAAGATAAAGATATAATAGATAAAGGCGCTAAAGCGGTATTTAAGAAGTAATCACGAGTAAAGTTTGTCAAATGTCAAGGTTATATTATGAAAATAAATGTAATGTACAACAGCTTGTTATATATATATATATATATATATATATATTATATATAATATATATATATTATATATATTATATATATAATATATTATATTATATATATTATATATATATATATATATATATATATATATATATATATATATACTGTCGTTTTCAAAAAGGTTGTCCTGAGCAAGTATATGTATATATCGATCACGTGACATTATTATGCATAAACACGCGTGGGATTGTACAAGCGTGTTAATTGCGAGTTCGAGTATAGCAAGGTGAACGATTAGAAAATGCCAAGACCATATTCGGATGATTTAAGGTGGAGAATGGTTTATCAACGACTGTTCTACGAAAGAATCATCGACGAAATTGCAGCACAGCTATTTGCTTGTTCAAAAACCGTCTATCGTACTCTCAGCACCTTTTGGAACACGGGTGATGTAAAGCCTTGCCGTATGGGTCGTCCAACAGCGAGGGTATCTTTATTCCCACACAAAGAATATATTATCATGGACTGTTTATTGCGAACGCCGCAAATACAGTTGAATGAGATAGCAAGCTATATCATTAATGCTACTGGCTCTGCATTTGGCCCGGAGACACTGTGCCGAGCTCTCTATAGGCTTGGAATAACACGCAAAAAGGTACGAACATTATGACATTATTTTAGTTGGAAGATATACTTAATACCGCATACTGGAAATCATATAACTATATTAATAAGACGCAAGCCATTCCACCTTTTTCCAATTTATTACAAGATTGTAGTTGTTCTTTATCAACTCTTCAAGCACATTTTCTTCTTCAGATACAGAGAATTGCCCCTCAGCGAAGAAACGATATTGGGCTACAATTCATGGCCGAAATCAGCCTTTTTGACCCAAACCTGCTCGTTTCTTCTCGATGAAACAGGCATTGTGTGTACTAAATAATACCTTACTGTAACTGGATTGCACAAACTAGTAGATCTTTTATTTATTTGGTTCTACGTTTTAAAGATAAACGACTTGCTCGGCAATATGGATATAGTGCTCGTGAGATACCGCCTGTTGTGAGCGACTATAGCTATGCACGGTGGACACCTCGCTATTCCATTATTTCGGCAGTATCGTGTGATGGACTTCTTGCGAACTGTTTGTTAAAGAATCCTGAAGAAAGATTTGAAACACGCTCCTTTATCTATTTTTTTGATGAACAGCTTGTATCAGCTATGAATCGATTTGATGGGGAAAACCCGCGATCCGTTCTCGTTATGGTTGAGATTTGAATATAATTAATGCAAAT